AATGCCCAGAATTTCTGAAACTGACAGTGACAGATGAAACACAGACACTTCCCACGGTAATCATTGACCCACCATCAGAATTCGCCGACCCTGTCGACATCACCGACGAAACCCCCGATGAAATCAACCTATCCCAAATCCACGCGAAGGCCCTCATCGCCTTCACAACCAAAACCCTTTTTGACTTATTCCCCCTTATCCGCCCCAAAACCCAGCAAGCCATCCAGGACGCGTCCCGCATGATCTTCAACCTCACGACCCGAATTAACCACTCGGGTCGTCTCCTCCACTTCACATTTGACGGCTAATGATAAACACACCAGACATGCATGTAACTCCTATCCCGCCGCACGCTGGGGCCCCCTCCCAGCGTGTGGCATCCACTCCTCCTCCCCCACTGACCCAAAACCCGCCCCATATTAATATATGCACTATTAACATCAATAGTGCAACCCACAAAATCCATGCTCTGAAAAATCTCATCGAGACAGATAACATCCACATTCTCGCTGTCACCGAAACCAAAACCAAACGTCAATTAAAAATTCCACATTTTGTCACCTACCACAAACCCTCAGTCATGGACAATGCCCGCGGTACAGCCTTGATCATCTCAAACAAATTCCCATCCACCGAGCATGACCTACCACCAAACCTCGCCAATCTCGAAGCCATTGCCGCAAACGTTTTAATTGCCGATATTTCGTTCACCATAATCTGCCACTACAATCCGCCCAAGCACACTATCTCCACTCTTCTTGTGCAATACGCCTCGCAGATCCCCAATGCCATTTTAATCGGCGATCTTAACTGTAGACACATGGACTTTGGCGACACCGCCACGAACCCCAACGGTAGAAAATTGGCCAACCACCTTCTCAACTACCCGATCTGCCGCCTCGAAAACAGGCTACCCACCCTAATCAACCACCATGGCGAATCAATTCCGGACCACATCATTATTTCAGAAAGCCTAACACCCAAATTCAACCCGAAATGTCACATCGGAACAACGGTCACTTCAGACCACTTACCCCTAACAGCCCAACTTTTAATACCGGCCCCACCACCACCCCCATCCTATATAACAATACACGACAATAAACACGCCGACTGGGCAAAATACCAACGACACATCACCGAAAATCTGCCAGAAATCAACATAACCCGCGACTCAAACGAAATTGATAACCAAATAACACTAATCACAAACACCATTTTAGCCGCGAAAGAAATTGCCATACCACTCAAACGCGTTCCGATAAACAAAAGACCACTGCCTCCGCGCATCCTAAACCTAATAAAACAAAAACGACAAGTATACAGAGAAATCACGCGAACACGTAACCCCCAGTTAAAACCCATATTCAACAGACTAAACGCCCAAATAAGACGCGACATCAATCAATATCGGGAAGAACAGTGGTCGAACACCTGCGCAAAATTAGACTACCGCGACGGAAAAAAATTCTGGGACAAATTTAAAATACTCACCGGACAAAAAACACAAAACACAACACACTTAATCCAAAACGGCACTTTCCTCTCCACCCCCGAAGAAAAGAGCAATGCCTTCGCTCAAACACTCCAAGAAATCCACGAAATTCCCCTCGACCCAAACTTCAATCACGAGTTCTTCAACTCAGTCTCCGAAGAAGTGCAAGAGTTCCGGGAACAACCCTTCCACCCCCTAGCCCTTCTCAACATGCATGTCCCCGACAACGACAACGACCTGACGAACGAAATCTCCCTTCATGAAGTTGAATCCCACATCAAATACCTAAAAAACTCCAAAGCCCCAGGGCCAGACCAAATCAAGGCGACACTTCTAAAAAATCTTCCGCCACCAGCAACCCAAGCCCTGACCACCATATACAACAACTGTCTGAACGCCTCATATTTTCCAACTTCATGGAAGCAAGCCTCCACAATCATGATCCCCAAACCAGGCAAAAACCCCCATAACCCACTCTCTTATCGCCCCATATCTCTACTAAATATCACAGGAAAAATCTTCGAAAAGATTCTCACTAACCGACTAAAAGACTTCCTGGAAACAAATAATATCATCCCTCAACAACAATTCGGATTCCGCTCGCAACGATCCACAATGAACCCCATTCTAGAGCTTCACACCGATTCCACTCGATTCGCCAATCTCAAAGAGTGCACGGTCGCCGTCTTCCTGGACATAGAACGTGCATTCGACCGGGTTTGGCACGACGGACTTATCCACAAACTCATCAAACTCCGAGTAAATCCCCAGTTCATAACTCTATTAGACTCATTCCTACATAACCGAACCTGCAGAATCAAAATCCAAAACTCACTCTCCCAACCTGTCAACATCCGTGCCGGAGTTCCTCAAGGCTCCGTGCTCTCACCCATTCTATACTCCATATACTGCAGTGACTTTCCCATTACAGATACCCCCAGGACCAAGACGAGGATGTTCGCCGACGACACCGCGTTCTGGACATCCCACCGAGACCCCGAACGAGCCACCTCCACCATCCAGGAAGCACTCCGGCGATACGAGGCGTGGGCCAACAACTGGCGAGTCAAACCCAACCCCATAAAATCCCAATCCATCTGCATGACATATCCTGGTGCAACCTCGAAAAGACACAAATTTACACAATCGCGATTAACACTGCATGCCGAACAAATTCCACAACACAAAACAGTCAGATATTTGGGCATAACCTTTTCCGACAACTGCTCCCTAACCCCCGACCTAGAAACTACCCTCAAAAAAATCCGAAACCGCTCTAACCTCCTATCCCTAATACGCGGCCGTATCCACGGTTGCAATCCCCAAACCCTAAAACACACCTACAACACCTTTATCCGCCCAATTATCGACTACCGGGCCCCAATCTACGCGACCCTCTCCAAAAAATCCCTACACAAAATAACAGCATGCGAAAGAAAAATCCTCCGACGAGCTTTTAGACTCCACCCAAGATTCCCGTCAATGCACGTATACCAGCGTACAAACGCTACTCCCATCCCCGATCGCTTAAAAACCCTCCAGCAAAACTACGTCAAACGCACACTTAACAGCAACAACACCATAGCCATCGGTAACTTACACACCTCCTACAAATACCCAGCCGCTAACAACCGCTTATTACACCGCCTGCCGCGAGTCCCCAAAAACAAATTTAAACACGCACCCACCGCTCTCCTAGAAACCCTGTACCCTGATCTCCCTCAGGCTCTCCAGGAACTAGTTGAGCAAACGCCGATATCGCTGCGAGGACGCTGACGTCCCCGCCCCCGACACAGCCACTTCGCCGCCCCTCCCCCCCAGACCCACCACCGACACCTGGACTTGGACACCGACGACCACCCGACGACGACAACGACGACAACACACCACCGTTCTCTTTCAGCTTCCAGCCCTCCAGGACCAGGATGCAGGATGAACACCCACCCCCAAGGACCAAGGACCCATCATACGCTTAGATTAATTAGATCAATAGGAAATAGTTAGATAACCCTTGACATGTAAATATTTATTTAAGCCCACCACACTGTAAATGAAATATCTTAAGTACTAGTAAGTTAAATTCCAACCCAACAATGTTAAATTAGCCCAGCGCTGAAAAGGCCCTAAGCCTCAGCAGCGCCCCACTGACATGTAAATATCTTAAGGAAACAATGTAACCGTAAATGCTTGAATAAATGATTTAACCGTAAATTTAACCGTAACCGTTTTCGCCACTATTCAAATTCGATCGTGCGACCGATAACCATCGACTTTTTTTAATAACAAAAACAATCAGTTGTTCGGTAAAATGGCAGACGTAGAAAATCAAACAGCTTCCGCCGCGGTGACAGCTTCGGCCGCCGCCTCCTCCGCCGGAACGCCTCACGCCAAGAAGGAAAAGAAAGCGAAGAATCCCAGGAGCAAACCTTCCCATCCGCCGACTTCGGAGATGGTGACCAACGCCATCAAAGGTTTGAAAGAACGCGGCGGATCGTCCCTCCAGGCCATCAAAAAATTCGTCGCCGCCAACTACAAGGTCGACGCCGAAAAAGTTGCTCCGTTCATCAAGAAATACCTGAAAGGCGCCGTCGCTTCCGGTTCCCTCGTCCAGACGAAAGGCAAAGGTGCTTCCGGTTCTTTCAAGTTGGCCTCCACGACCGCCGGCGGTGCCAAAGCCGCCGCCTCCGCCGCCGAAAGGAAGAGGAAATCCGGCGCCGGCAGGACGAAGAAAGCCGCGATAGGCGCGGGAAAACGCGCTTCCGCCGGAGCCGCCGCCGCCGCCGGCGAGAAGGCGGCTTCTAAGGTTTCGAAGAAGACCGCGCCGAAAGCGAAAAAGGCCGCCGCCGAAAAGAAGACCGCTTCCGTGGCCAAAGCGAAGAAGGCCGCCGCCGCCGCTGCCAGCGCCTCCGCCGCAGAGAAGAAGGCCGCCGCCGCCGCTGCCGCCAGAGCGGCGTCGAAGGCGAAATCTCCTTCGAAAGCGAAAAGATCTAACAAGGCCGGACCCACGAAGAAACCGAAAGCTCCGAAACCCAAGTCCACCAAGGCCGTCTCCGCCAAAGCGAAGAAAGCCGCTTCTCCGAAAAGAAAAAAGTGAGCGTTCGAAGAAGATGATGACGACGACGTCGTTGTTGTTGTTTCCCGGCGGTGCTCCGATCGTACATATCGACGAAGGGGCACGCATAAATGGCCCTTTTCAGGGCCACAAATTTTTTTCAAACGAATTAAAATTTTCGCTCGACCATATAAATCGAATAATGAATGAATGAATGAATGAAAGAAAGAAAGAAAGAAAGAAAGAAATAAATGATTGATAAGATTGATTTGAATGAATGAATGAATGAATGAATTTGCATGCCTTAATTTTAATTTTTTATCTTTTATTTAAGTTTTCGAACGATTCTATTCTCGAAAAAGTTGCTTAATTTTTTATTCGTTAGGAAAAATATTGAGGTTCTGAAAAGAACCGATTTTTTTGTCTCTTTCGAAAAGAGAACTGACAGTTGAGAGATGACGGTGTGATTGATGGTCGGTCGATTTTTTTTTTTAAGCTCTTTCTCCGCGAATGCGTCTCGCCAGCTGGATGTCTTTGGGCATGATGGTGACGCGTTTGGCGTGGATGGCGCACAAGTTGGTATCTTCGAAGAGACCGACGAGGTAAGCTTCGCTAGCTTCCTGGAGAGCCATCACGGCGGAACTCTGGAAACGCAAGTCGGTCTTGAAGTCCTGGGCGATCTCCCTGACGAGACGTTGGAAGGGCAGTTTGCGGATCAAAAGTTCGGTGCTCTTCTGATAACGACGGATCTCTCGGAGAGCGACGGTTCCGGGCCTGTAACGATGGGGTTTCTTGACGCCGCCGGTCGCCGGTGCGCTTTTTCTCGCGGCCTTAGTGGCGAGCTGTTTTCTGGGGGCTTTTCCTCCCGTAGATTTACGAGCGGTCTGTTTTGTTCTTGCCATTTCGAAAAAATAAGCGAAAGATTAAAATCGATCGACGAACGAACACGCAGCAGACGGACGTTACGAACACGTTGACTGGAAATAACGGCCGACAGTCAGTCAACAGTCAAATACATTTATTTATAATATGGGTTTTACAGTGGGGTTCTTAGTCTAATTACAATCATAAGTGGTGCAGCTGAGGCTTAGGGCCTTTTCAGCACAGGTTTACATCGAGTCCTTAAGATATTTACATTTCATTCTTATAATTAAAGCTATTACTAAATAGAATATGTATTTGAAAATTGAAAAATTGGATAGTGGTTTATAAACTTAAACTTATTTACAATATATACAATATACAGTGGTCGTGGGGTCGGGTCCTTGGGAGGGGGGTGGATCATCTCAGAGAGAATGGAGTCTCTTCGACGATGGACTGGAGGGCTTCGGGTAGGTTTGGGTATAGTTTGGATAGTAGGGCTGTTGGGGGGTGTTTGTGTTTGGTTTTGGGTATTTTGGGAATGCGGTTTAGAAGGCGGTTATTGTTAGTTGGGTATTTGTGGGAAGTGTGAAGAGTTTGGATGGCTATTGTGTTGGTGGAGTTTAGGGTGCGGTGGATGTATTTCTGTTGGAGTTCGGTTAGTCGTGAAGCGATAGTGGGAGTTTTGGCGGTGGTGTGAACATGCGAGGAGGGGAATTTGTAGTCTAGTTTGAGGATTCTGCGTAGGATTTTTCGTTCGGATGTTAGGATTCTATTGAGAATTTGTTGGGAGAGGGAAGCATAGAGGGGGGCTCGGTATTCTATGACGGGCCGGATGAAGGATTTGTAGGTGTGTAGCAGGGTTTCTGTGTTGCAGCCGCGGATGCGGCCGCGGATTAGGTATAGGAGGTTGGCTCGGTTTCGGATCTTTTTTAGGGTGAGGTCGAGGTCAGCGAGGAGGGAGCAGGTTTGGGAGAAGGTGATACCGAGATATTTGATGGTTTTTTGTTTGGGGATGGGTTGGTTGTGTAGTGTTAGATTGGTTCGGGAGAAAGCGTATTGTTTGGGTATGGCATGTGGGTAGGAAATGAGGATTGATTGGGATTTTTTGGGATTGGGTGAGATTCTCCATTTGTTGGCCCATTCCTCGAATTTTCGGAGTAGCTGCTGGATGTTGGCGGCGGCTCGGGTGGGGCATTTGTTGGAGGACCAGAAGGCTGTGTCGTCTGCGAACATCCTGGTCTTGGTTCGTGTGTTGTCTGAAAAGGGAAAATCGCTGCAGTAAATCAAATACATAATGGGTGAGAGCACGGAGCCTTGGGGGACCCCGGCGTCTATGCTAACTTTTCTGGATTTGGTGTTCGAGATTTTTACATTGCAGGATCTGTTGGATAGGAATGAGTCCATGAGTAGGATGAAGGCGGGGTTGAGTTTTAGGGAGATTAGTTTATGGATTAGGCCGTCGTGCCAGACTTTGTCAAAAGCACGTTCTATGTCTAAAAAGACTGCGGCTGTGCACTCTTTGAGGTTTGAGTGTCTGGTGGTATCTGTGTGGAATTCTAGTAGGGGGTTGATGGTGGAGCGTTGGGATCTGAAGCCAAATTGTTGGTCTGGGAGAAGGTTGTGTGTTTCGAGGAGTGGGGCTAAACGTGATGCAAGGATTTTTTCAAAGATTTTGCCCATGATATTGAGGAGAGAAATTGGGCGATAAGATAAGGGGTCGTATTTGTCCTTGTCAGGTTTAGGGATCATGATCGTTGAAGCGGATTTCCACGCTATTGGAAAGTAGGAGGAGGAAATGCAGCTGTTGTAGATTGTAGTTAGGGCAAGTATTGCGGGTTCGGGGAGATTTTTCAGGAGGATGGCTTTTATTTCGTCGGGGCCGGGGGCTTTGGAGTTTTTTAGACTTTTGATAAAGGATGAGACTTCGTCTGGAGATGTTGGGTTTGATAGGTCATCGTCGGGTAGTGGCGCAAAGTTGGGTGGGCTTTCGCGGAAATCTTGGATTTCTTGGGAGACTTTGTCGAAGAATTTTTGGTTGAAATTGGGGTTTTGTGGAATTGAATGGATTGCTTGAAGTGTTTCCGCGAAAAGGTTTGCTTGATCTTGGTGGGAGGTTAGGAATGTACCGTTGTGTTTTAGGTAATGTGTTTTTTGTGGTTTTTGTCCGGTTAGTGTTTTGAAGGTGTTCCAGTACTCTTTCCCGTTTCTATAATCAAGTTTCGCGCACGTGTTTGACCATTGTTCTTCGCGGTACTGGTTGATGTCGCGGCGGATTTGTGCATTGAGGCGATTGAAATGTGTTTTAATGAAGGGGTCGCGGGTTCTGACAAATGTTCGAAAGAGTTTGCGTTTGTGTTTGATTAAATTTAGAATTCTTTGCGGAAGCGGGCGTTTGTCTATTGGGATGTGTTTGATTTTAACTGTGGTGTTTTTTGCTTGTGTTATTATGTCGGTTAAAAGTGTGACTTGATTGTCGATTATTTCCGGCTCGCGTGTTGGATTGATTTGAGGGAGATTTTCTACGATGTGTTTTTTGTATTTTTGCCAGTCGGCGTGTTTAAAGTCGAATATGGGTACATATGTTGGGGGTGGAGGAGGGGCGGGCAGAAGAATTTGGGTTGTTAGGGGTTGGTGGAATGAGGTTACTGTCGTGCCTATTGTGCAGGTCTCGTTTATTAGAGGGGTTAGTGTCTCGGTAACGAGAATGTGGTCGACGATTGAAGAGCCGTGGTGGTTTGTGAAGGTGGGTTGGCGATTTTTTGTGCGGTAGATGGGGAGGTTAATGAGGTTATTGACTAATGTGATGCCATTTCTGTTGAAATTATGATCGCCGAAGTCTTTGTGTCTTGCATTGAAGTCACCAAGTAGGATGGCGTTTGGAAGATTTGAGAAATATCGCAGCAGAGGGGTTGATATGTTTACTAACGGAGGGTTATAATAAGAAATTATGGTTATTGAGAGGTTGTGGATTAAGACATTTGCGGCTGTGGCTTCGAGGTCTGCGAGATTGTCTGGTAGAATGTGGGGCGAGGAAGGTATTTTAGATGATATTAGCAGTGCTGTTCCTCGAGCGTTTCGGATATTGGAGGGGCGGTGATAGGTTGTGAAGTTGTTGATTTTTATTTGGCGGGAAGTTTTTGTTTCCGTTAGTGCCAGGATTTGAATTTGGTCGGTTTCGATGAAGTGTTTAAGAGAGTGGTATTTGCGTTTTATTCCGTCGATGTTGACGGTGGAGATATTGATGAGATGGGGGGCGTCCTGCACTGGATTAGGCACGGGGGTGGGGGGTGGGACTGTGGCGGCGTGCTGGCTGGAGTCGCCAGCACGCTGAGAAGCGTTCGTTAGATTAGCCATCGAAGGTGAAATGGAGTCTGTTGCCAGACGGGTTGATGTTCGTTCGGAGGTTTAAGAACGATGCGGAGGTTTTTTCGATGACTCCTTGGATTTGGGGGCGTTGAAGGGGGAATAAGTCCATGAGGACAACTGTGAGGTAGGCCACGAGCTGTTTGGGGTGGATGATACTGGGATCTGGGGGAGCGACTGTGTCGGGTGACTCGACGGGGTCGGCGAAGAGTTCGGGGGGGTCTATGATGTGGAGCGGCATTATCGGGGTTTCGTCGGTGACGGCGAACTCCTTATAATTGGGGCATTTTAGTGACCATGCGGGGTGGTTTCCTTTGCAGAAAGGGCATTTGGGGTCGGTTGTTGGGCATTTGCCGGGAGGGTGGTTGTTAGGGCAGGTGGGGCAGATGAGGCGGTTGGGGCAGTTGGTGTTGTCGTGCCCACGTTGGAAGCAACGTGAACATTGGACTGGGATGGGGGTTGGGGGGTGGGACCGTTCACACTGGTGGTGTCGTCCGAATAGGGTGATTCCTTGGTTTAGCAAGGAATCGATAGTGGTGGTGTCGGAAGATGTCACTCTTATGAGAGAGGTGAATTGGTTGGTTTTTTTGGACTTAATGCGCCAAATTAAATTGAAGGGGAGATTGCGGCGGTCGAGTTCGGCCCTAATGTCCTGTTCGTTAGTGCCTAAGTCGACGGATTTAATGACGACTGAGAAGACGGCGGGTTTTTTCTCGGATGGTGGTCGGGGCATTTTGGGGGAGTTGAGCGCGATAAGCTCGATGTTGCTGCCGGTGGCGGTTTTTAATTTGTGGAGAAGGTCAGAAGGAGGAATTTGGGTGAGGACGAGAAGGCCGGTCTTGTTGGGGTTGATGATTAAATTGTGGATTCCTCGCACGTTAAGATGGGTGACGAGGAGATTATAGAATGTTTTTTGTTGGGCCACTTTTTCGGGGATATTTTTGAGATGAAACCTGAGTTTCACCGTTTGAGCGGAGGCTGACGAGGATGCTGTGGAGGATTTGGAGTGCATGGTGTTGTTCGTGATGGCTGTGGATGCAGGGGAAGCGCGTCCCGAAGGACTGCTACAAGCGGAGGAAGCTGAAGCTGAACAAACTGAATTGGACTCACCGGTTCGCTGCGTGTTGGCGTCGGCTTGATCTTCTGTTGCTGGTGGAGCTCTCTGGGGCGACGTTGCACGAATCGTGACGGTGCGACGACGTGACTTGGACCGCGTGCTGACAGACATACTGCCAGGTCGATGCGCAGATCGAGAATGACGGCCGACAGGGTCGCGGCGAACTTATATAACGTTCACCGCTACAAAGTCGCTCTCTGCGCGTGTCTATTGGTCGAGCGGGACCAGAAATGGGCGTAGCTCGGGAACGTTATAAAACGACGCCGAATTTCGTAATTTTCGCAGTTCCCTTTCGAACACCGTTCTGAATCCACGTCGCTCGCAAGCTTCTTCGAAGATATTCCAAGATGACCGGTAGAGGAAAAGGAGGCAAAGGCTTGGGAAAAGGTGGCGCGAAACGTCATCGCAAAGTCCTGCGCGACAACATCCAGGGCATAACGAAACCGGCCATCAGAAGATTGGCCCGTCGCGGCGGTGTGAAACGTATCTCCGGGTTGATCTACGAAGAAACCAGAGCCGTCCTCAAGGTGTTCCTCGAGAACGTGATCCGTGACGCCGTCACCTACACCGAACACGCCAAACGTAAGACCGTCACCGCCATGGACGTCGTCTACGCTTTGAAACGTCAAGGACGCACCCTCTACGGTTTCGGCGGTTAATTTTTTGCAATAGCAAGAAATTTAATCGTCGGTGATTTTGATTCTTTGACTTTTCCGTATATACGCCACGACAACAAACGAGATCGGAGAAAAAAAAAAACGGTTCTTTTCAGAACCACAAAATTTTTCTAACGAATAAAAAATTTCGCTTACTATATGTCGAGAATAAATAATGAATGAATGAATGAATGAATGAATGAATGGTTGGTTGTGTTGGTTTTTTTTAAAGAAATAATAATGACGATATAAAATGGAAAAACGAAAAAAATTAAATTAAAATCACGTATTTTTAAACGTTTGCAGTAAAATTCACGAAAAGTGACAGAGAGAAAGCTTAAAAATGAACGAACAATAAGAAAATATTAACGTTTTCGAATCGAAAAACGATTTCGTGTCATATAAAGTACTTTTCTTTCTTTCCATTTTTTTTTTTTTTTGTTTGTTTTCCATTAAGATAAGTTTGCGAGCATTTAATCGTTTGAAAAAAATTAGTGGCCCTGAGAAGGGCCGATGATGTGGGTTGTTGTTTTTCTTTTTTTTTCTCGGTAAAGCGGTCGTCCGTCCGGTCCGTTTCTTTAAAAAAAATGAAAAGAGTTTAAGGCTTCTTTTCGGTCTTCTTGGGCAAGAGGACCGCCTGGATGTTGGGCAGAACGCCGCCTTGGGCGATCGTCACTCCGGAAAGGAGCTTGTTCAACTCTTCGTCGTTCCTGATCGCCAACTGCAAATGTCTGGGAATGATCCTGGTCTTCTTGTTGTCTCTGGCGGCGTTTCCTGCCAACTCGAGAACTTCGGCGGCCAGATATTCCATGACGGCGGCGAGGTAGACGGGAGCTCCGGCACCGACGCGTTCGGCGTAGTTTCCTTTACGGAGGAGACGATGGATCCTGCCGACGGGGAACTGAAGACCGGCACGGCTCGAACGGGACTTCGCCTTTCCCTTGACTTTTCCTCCCTTTCCACGTCCTGACATTTTCTTTAATTTTCTTGCGAAAAACGAAATATAAACAAGATGATCGAGCGACGAGCGGCGACGACGAGACACGTAATCGACTGCTGCGTTATTCGGTTATGTATCGGACCGGCGGTCGCGGCTTAGGCTTTATACCCTCCGTGCGGTCGGTTCAGTTCGGCGCATAGGAAGGCTAGGACGAATGGGCGTGGCCTGAGTCGGTAGACGGTCCGTTATAAAAGTAGTCGCACGCGGGGTGATATTTTTATTCGTTCGTCGAGAACCGAGCGTAGCGTTGCGTTCTGTTCTGTTCTGTTAAACTCTTATCGAATATTCGAAGATGCCACCCAAGACTAGCGGTAAAGCCGCCAAGAAGGCCGGAAAGGCCCAAAAGAACATTTCGAAGAGCGACAAGAAGAAGAAGCGCAGGAGGAAGGAGAGCTACGCTATCTACATCTACAAGGTGTTGAAACAAGTACATCCCGACACCGGTATCTCGAGCAAGGCGATGTCCATCATGAACAGTTTCGTGAACGACATCTTCGAACGTATCGCCGCCGAAGCTTCCCGCCTCGCCCACTACAACAAACGTTCGACCATCACCTGCAGGGAGATTCAGACCGCCGTACGTCTCCTCTTGCCCGGTGAATTGGCCAAGCACGCCGTCTCCGAAGGTACCAAAGCCGTCACCAAGTACACCAGCTCCAAGTAGAATGATTTTGTTATCATTTCTGTCGTCGTCCGTCGTCCATCTTTCCGGAAAAAAAAAAAAAACAACAACAACAAACAAACAAATCGGTTCTTTTCAGAACCACAAATCGCATTCCTTACAAATAAGAGATTAACGAACCTCGAGAATGTTTCTTTCCCCTTTATTATTATTCGATTATTAAAATGAACGAATAAAATGATACTTTTCGTTTCGGGGTGTGCGATGTTTAAATTCCGTCCGCGATCGATTTCGGTTAGAGGTTTTCGAAATGAAGCTATGTTAAAAAACAGCGTTATATTTTTATCGATCGATTTTTATACGATATGTAAATAAGTCAGGTCACGGGAACGTACTTGTTTTTTTTTTTTCTTTCTTTTTTTCCCCCCGCCGCAAGAAGGAATTTATATTATTTATTTCTTCATAACGAAGCGCTGTGCTCTCTACGATCGATTTTATCAGGAAATCATAAGATCGAGAAGAAAACGGTCGCGTTTTTTATCATTATTTTAATACTAGAATTACGAAACTGATGCAAATCTATACTGGCCGTCTGTTCGAGGAACTCGCGTACGATAAATAACGCATGTTCCTAACAAAACGGCCGTTTTTTTGCATTTTCACGATCGAGCGTGAATAAATTTCAAATTAAAAGATATTTAATCATCGATTCGTTTCTTTTCGAGTCTTCCTGAATGATTCTGATCTCGTTGTCCATGTACGGCGTTCGTTTATAAGTTCTCGTCGTGCTTTAAATTTTATTTTATCGTCGCAGACATAAATATCCATTATTTTATAAACCTAGTAGAGTGTCGTTACGCGACACCTCGATCTGATCTGGACTTGTAAATTATTTTTTGGACTTAAAAAAAAAAAAAAAAAAAAAAAAAAAGAATAAGGGGGGTGTTCGCAATAGGGCAAAAGAAAAACAAAAAATCGGGCGGGAGCGGAATGTTTGAAAATTTCGAGTCGAAGGACGCGAGTGGAAAATCTTAGCGACTAACTTAAATTCTAAATTAAAAACTAGCTTAACTTATGACACACTTATAATAAACACATCGTTTTTTTTTTTACTAAAAACTAAAGTTTAACAAAAAGAAGAAGACAACGGCACGCGGTGTTCCCAAGCGGTCACCCATCCAAGTACTGACCGCGCCCGACGTTGCTTAACTTCGGTGATCGGACGAGAACCGGTGCTATCAACGTGGTATGGCCGTTGCCTGATGATAAGGGTAAAAAATGAGTAGAAATGGATCCGAGAAGTCGAAACGTCGAAGCAAAAGTGCCAAGATCCGACGAACGAACATCGAAGATCGAGGAGCGCAGCACAGCGCAGCGGTCTGCAACACAAAATACAAAACAAACAAACAAGCACATCACGCACGTACAACTAACAGACGAATGCCACCGACAGGATAGGGAAAGGACGACAAGACCGACAAAGAGACGAACCAGGCACATAAGGCACAATCACGGCGGACGTAGGTAAAAACAAACCATAAACCATCTTCGTCCGCCGGATTAATTACCCTACCGCCACCTGGCCACCTGTGTGTGAATGTAATCGTAAATATACGTAAAAAACAAGTCCTGGACAACATATATATAAATATAACCCAAAAAGCAGCATTTGCAATATTTTACAAACAACCGCCGTCATAAATTCGCCGTATCTCGATGGTTCATGAATGCTTTGAAAAACACTTGCCTTGATAATATAATAATGAAAGTGTAAGTGAATTGAATTAAAAAATAATAGTTGAAAGATGTTAAAATAGTTCGAAGTTCGTTCGTCTGTAAACAATAATAGATTAAATAAACTCCATAGAATGTAGTCTTTCAGATCTTCGAAAGAAGAAGGAAAAAAAAAAGAAAATAAAACTATGAAAAGCGGCCACAGGAAAGACAGAAAACGTATCGTACGTGAATCGAAGAAAGAATTTTCGTTCGCCGTCGGTGCGGTGCTGCGGGTTTCCGCGCTCGGTCCCGGCTCGAAAACGACACTCGAAACGAAGAAACTTTTGGAAAAATCCGCAAGGAAATTTTCGTCAGACGTGCAATTTCGATCGTCGATCGATCTCGTACGGAAAAAAATAAAAAAAATCCGAATTTCCTCGTCGTTTCGAGGTACGAGGAAACGACGAGACCGAATCATCTCGTCGCGCCTTCGACATGGAAATTTTTAATGTTCCCATCCTCGTACAGAGACGAGACCGCCACCGGAGGACGGCCGAAAGTCCGTTCCGTCGTTTTCGTTCGACGATCTACGTCGAAGGAGCCCCCCGTGCCCCAGGAGATCGTCGAAATCGGAAGAGTCGCTTCGAAGCGGTGACGATTTTGACCGTACCTTGCCTCTTTCGGAGGCGTTTTTTGACGAGAAAACGTCTTCCGATCGTCCCCGAGGGTGTAAAAAACCGGAAAGCATGGACGGAGGCTCACCTCGTCGAAGCGTCGTCACGGTGGCGGCGACGACGGACGTCGGAGCGTCGACGTCCACCTTCGGTACGTTGTTCGACTTTTGACAAGGTCTTCTTCGAGCGAGCGTCCGGACGGACGCCCTGCCGATTCGCCGATTCCCGCTTCGTCGAAAAATACTCGAATAAACGTCGAGGAAGGTCTGAGGCCGTGTTTCGTCCGTCTAACGACAAGGAGGCGGTGGTGACGGCGAAAAGAGAACGATGTCATCACCCGAAAGTCGAGCGCGAGGCCGCCGATTTCGAGCGAATTCCGTCAAAGTCGCGCGTTTAGTTTACAGTCCGCTTGGTTTACGTCGGGGACACTTAGACGTCGTTTTCGCCACTATGTCGTGAGTCGTCAGTTGGAGAGGAAGGTTGTCTGTTCCGGTGGTGAGTTTGCTTTTGCATATTTTTTGCTTTTGTGAATCTGCCGTCGTGCTGTGACCCAACGCTCCAGTGAAGTTCACCGAGTTCGCTGCGTTACTGTGCTTTTCAGCGCGCTATCGCTAGCATCCCTTGTGCAACGTTTCGCAACGTTTTCCATCGGCTACGCTGCTTTTTTTCAAAGCGATTAGTGGTCGATGTGGCACAAATAATTTCGCAACCACAACACGTCCCAGGCTCTGTCAGTGCCACCATGGCGCAGGCAGGGGCCCCAGGAGATGCCATGCTGTCGAGAATCTTGGCCATCGTGTCCAGGATGGAGGCAGCATTGAAGAAGCATGCCAGAAGGATCTCGAGGATCGAGAAGAAAATGGAGGAGGTCTACACCCCGGCCGAGACCTCCACCGACGATGACACCTCGGACTCGGACGAGTCCATGGACATCACGTCCGAAGAGGCCCCCCTGGAATCCCCCTTCGAGGAGGTCCCCACCGCCAGAGCTGGCGCAAAGAGGCCAGCCACCCCCACCCCCCAGCCAGTCTTCACGACTGGCAATATGTTCTCCGCCCTTAGCGGCGAGGAGCAAGCCCCCACGCCTTCCACTTCGGCCAAAAAGCCGAAAATTGCGTCTCCGCCCCCGACCGTGAAGCCCAAGCCACCAGCCAAGCCCGCGGCCACGGAGAAGCCAGCCCCATCTGCTGCTGGCAAGAAGCAGCAGAAAAATGCCAAGCCCCAGACAGCCCCCCATGCTGCCAAGCAGCAAAAGAAGCCCCAGCCCCAGCCCCCGGCAGGCCCAAGCCGGGACACCGCCAGGGCCAAGCCCGCCACCACCGCCGAGACCACCCCGGTCGTCGACGAGACCCCCGCCGAGCCCCGGCCCGAGCCCCAGGAGGAGACCATGGAGACGGAGGTCCCCGTGGTGACACCACGTCCCCCAACCACCCCGAAAAGCAGGATTCCGCCCATAATCCTGCGGGACGGCCAGAGATGGTCAGAAGTTTCGCGTCGGATGACGGATAACTCCATCCGGTATTCGAAGGCGAAATCCACCCCGGAAGGGGTGCGCATTCAGCCGGTCGAGGTGAGCGACTTCAGAAGCCTGGTAAGACTTCTGGACAACATGAAGGTGCAGTATCACACCTTCACGCTCCCGGAGGAGAAAACTCTCCGCGTAGTCATCCGCGGCATCGCCGTAGGAGTTGCCAGCCAGGAGGTGTTGGAAGACCTGGAGTCTCTGGGTCTCCAACCAATTCAGGTCAGTCGGATGAGCCGAAACGACCGCCCGATGCCCCTCGTCCTCGCCGAGATGCCTATGGCCAAGAAGGCCGAAGTTTTCGAGGTGAAGACACTTTGCGGCCTCTCCGTCAAGGTGGAGAAGCCCCATAAGAGGAAGGATGCTGCCCAGTGCCACCGCTGCCAGCGGTTCCACCACTCCCAGCGGAACTGCAGGGCCGAACACCGTTGCGTCAAGTGCGGCGCCGATCACCAGACCAGCGACTGCGAGAAGCAACGCAGGCAGCCCGCGAAATGCGCGAATTGTAGCGGGCCACACCCGGCCAGCTACAAGGGGTGTCCCAAGTTTCCCAAATCGCAGCAACAGAAGGCTTCCAAGAAGCCTCCCACATCGTCCAAGACGACCGCCCCCAGGACCGCCGCCCCCAAACGCGGTGCCCTCCCCAAGGCCACCCCAAAACCTAAACCCGCTCCCGTTCCCAAGAAGGTCGCCCTCACGGCTCGCCAACAGGCCGACCTGCAGCTCCAGAAGACCCAACTGATGACCGCCATCGCCGCCGCCAAGGACTCGCAGTCCATGGCGGAGAAAATGGCGGCATTCCTTCCCCTCCTTTTTAAAAATTAGATGGGTAGTACGCCACTAATTGTAAATTCATTACAGATCGCCTTCTGGAATGCCAATGGACTCCGGAGCGGGCGTTATGAACTCGAAGAGTTCATGGAAGACCACCAGCTCGATGCCATCCTCGTCAACGAGACGAACCTCCTGTGGGACTCCCGAGATCCCAAGATGCCGGGTTACACCTTGCACCGAACGGAACGACGGGACGGAAACGGGAGAGGAACGGCCATCTACGTAAGAAAAGAGATTAAACACTCTTCTTCTTACGTCCCCGATCTCCGACAACTAGAAGCGACGGCGGTAACCGTTGTGACTGCGAGAGGGCCTCTGCGCCTAATCGCTTGTTACAACAACTCCAACACGCTCCAGGTTGAAGACATCGCTGACCTCGTCGCAGGCGAAGAGGCCACCATCGCAGCTGGCGATTTCAACGCCAAGCATTCGGACTGGCACAGCCGCCAGAACAACGCGAACGGAAGGCGTCTCCTAACCTTCCTCCATAACACCGCGGAAGTAGACGTCATCTCCACCGAGGAACCGACGTTCTACCACCGAGCCCGACCAGATGCACCAGGTGATGTCTTGGACATTGCCCTCGTCAAGAATCTCCGACACGAAGTGGACGTCAACGTCGTCGACGAGCTCCACTCCGACCACCTCCCGGTGATTATGCGCATCGGGAACGAACCCAACGATCCCGCGGCCAACATAATCACGACCACGGACTGGACGAAATTCGCCGAACATATCAAGGGCAACTTTGGTGAGTTTGTAACGAATTTCCAGGACAGCGAGCAAGTCGAAAGAGCAACCCTGGACTACGAAAATCGTATCCGAGCCTCCATCGACGCGACCTCAATTCGACGCCCTGTGCGGCCATTCAAACGGCCCGCGATACCACAGCGTATCGCGAATCTCATCAGGGAAAAGAACAGAGCCAGACGAACAGCACGACGAACTGGAGAACAGGACGACCGGACTGCAGCGAACCGCCTCCAATGGGAAGTCCGGCGAGCACTGCTCAATCTTAGGAACGAGCAGTGGGAACAACGACTAGAATCCCTGAACACCGTGGACGGATCGACCTGGAAAATGGCCAATGCGCTGAGAAGCGACAAGCGGCCACTTCCACCGATCCACAGCGCGAACAACGGCATCGTCTTCACAGAAGAGGACAAAGCCGCCGCCTTCGCTCACAGTCTGGAGAACCAATGCCAGACGAACATCGACCCTGATGCAGATGACGAGCACCTGGACCTCGTCGAGGAAACCGTCGAAGAAATTCGAATGGCAGAACCCGACGAAGACGACCAGATCCGCGAAGTCCATCCCGACGAAATCCGCGAAATCATCCGACTCCTCAAACCCAGGAAAGCCCCAGGCCCAGATGGCATCCCGAACAAAGCATTGAAGAACCTCTCCGACGAAGCCATCGTCGCACTAGCAGGTATAATTAATGCAATGTTTAAATTCCGTCTTTTTCCAGCTAGGTGGAAAGAAGCCCACGTCATTTTCATCCCGAAACCGGGGAAAAATCACATTTTCCCGGAAAATCATCGACCCATCAGTCTCCTCTCGTCCGTGGGGAAGATCGCTGAACGTGTGATTCGGAAACGGCTAGCTGAGTTCGTCAACGAACGAGGCGTAGTCCCCGATGAACAGTTCGGTTTTCGCCCCCAACACTCAACCTCCGAACAACTCCTCCGAGTAGTCGAATTCGCCGCAAAATCAATTGAATGGAAACAATTGACTGGCGCGGTGTTCCTCGACGTTGCGAAGGCTTTCGACACCGTCTGGCATGATGGACTTGTTTACAAGCTTCACCAAGCAGGCGTGCCGTTGGCGATGGTGCAGCTCATCCAATCTTTCTTGGATTCCCGCACGTTTAAAGCACGCATTGGGCACGCTTTATCTGCGGAGCATCCAATTAGCGCAGGAGTCCCCCAGGGCTCGGCGCTTTCCCCGCTCCTGTACGCGGTTTTCACCGCGGACATACCCAAACTCCCCCGAACTAGCCTTGCGATCTACGCGGACGACACGGCTATCCTTACGCGCTCCAAAATGCCGCACCTCGTAACCTCCTACTTACAGGAGGCCGTGGATGCGCTGGAGGAGTGGTGCAAACGATGGCTCATTACAGTCAATCCAGAAAAGAGCACTGCGCTTCTTATCTCGAAAAGACGTACTGGGCCTGAAGGAAACGTCACGATGTTTAACCGGGTCATCCCTTGGCGGAGCCAAGCAAAATACCTAGGTGTCATCGTCGACAAACGGCTGTCCTTTATCCCTCATATTGACTACATCGTGGCCAATACGAACAAGATAAAGGGTTCGTTGTCAGCGCTGATCGGAAGGCGCAGTAAGGCGTCGATCAGGAACAAGTTGTTGCTGTATCGCGCCATCATCCGCCCCACCATGTCCTATGCTTCAATGGCCTGGAGCTATGAACCCTCCAAAACCCAGTTCCACCGTCTGGAAGTCATCCAGACGAAAATTCTCCGACAGGTTTTCAAAGCCCCATGGTTCGTCAGAAACGCCCAACTGCTCCGAGAGGCCAACCTCCCGCCGCTGAAGGAGTTCCTGCACGAAGTCGCCCTCCGAGCCTTCAGGAAAGCTGAAGAGCACCCCAACCCCCTGGTGCGAGAAGCCGTCGACTACGAGTTCGACGAGGAAGCCCCCCCCAGTCGCAAGCGGCCCCGTAGGGCGCTGCTTGAAGACCGAATCGGCAAGTAACACCACCTGCCGTCTCCACCGACCGGCCTTTCCCGGCCTTCCCAACTTCCCGACCGCATCGCCTCCAAGGTGTTGCACATCTAACGCCAGCGCATAGCGCATTGTTTCTGTTTCAGATCTCTCCACCGGCCGCAGGACCGCGAGGAAGAGCCGACGATGGGGGCCAACTCCTAGGCAATCAATAGCTCAACCGAGCTCGGTAGCGCAGCCCCCGCTGTGTCTACCGGGATGCGCGTTGTGGGTGTAAGGGACAATGTCCTGGTACCCGAGCAGAAGAAGGAGGGGTTTTAGGGCGGTAACCATTCCCCCAGTACCACCGTAGGCCGCAGAAGAGGCCAAGAACCATTACGGTGGTCTGCGTAGACATTTCCCCTCCACCAAAAAAAAAAAAAAAAAAAAAAAAATTTCGCCACTATTCAAATTCGATCGTGCGACCGATAACCATCGACTTTTTTTAATAACAAAAACAATCAGTTGTTCGGTAAAATGGCAGACGTAGAAAATCAAACAGCTTCCGCCGCGGTGACAGCTTCGGCCGCCGCCTCCTCCGCCGGAACGCCTCACGCCAAGAAGGAAAAGAAAGCGAAGAATCCCAGGAGCAAACCTTCCCATCCGCCGACTTCGGAGATGGTGACCAACGCCATCAAAGGTTTGAAAGAACGCGGCGGATCGTCCCTCCAGGCCATCAAAAAATTCGTCGCCGCCAACTACAAGGTCGACGCCGAAAAAGTTGCTCCGTTCATCAAGAAATACCTGAAAGGCGCCGTCGCTTCCGGTTCCCTCGTCCAGACGAAAGGCAAAGGTGCTTCCGGTTCTTTCAAGTTGGCCTCCACGACCGCCGGCGGTGCCAAAGCCGCCGCCTCCGCCGCCGAAAGGAAGAGGAAATCCGGCGCCGGCAGGACGAAGAAAGCCGCGATAGGCGCGGGAAAACGCGCTTCCGCCGGAGCCGCCGCCGCCGCCGGCGAGAAGGCGGCTTCTAAGGTTTCGAAGAAGACCGCGCCGAAAGCGAAAAAGGCCGCCGCCGAAAAGAAGACCGCTTCCGTGGCCAAAGCGAAGAAGGCCGCCGCCGCCGCTGCCAGCGCCTCCGCCGCAGAGAAGAAGGCCGCCGCCGCCGCTGCCGCCAGAGCGGCGTCGAAGGCGAAATCTCCTTCGAAAGCGAAAAGATCTAACAAGGCCGGACCCACGAAGAAACCGAAAGCTCCGAAACCCAAGTCCACCAAGGCCGTCTCCGCCAAAGCGAAGAAAGCCGCTTCTCCGAAAAGAAAAAAGTGAGCGTTCGAAGAAGATGATGACGACGACGTCGTTGTTGTTGTTTCCCGGCGGTGCTCCGATCGTACATATCGACGAAGGGGCACGCATAAATGGCCCTTTTCAGGGCCACAAATTTTTTTCAAACGAATTAAAATTTTCGCTCGACCATATAAATCGAATAATGAATGAATGAATGAAAGAAAGAAAGAAAGAAAGAAAGAAATAAATGATTGATAAGATTGATTTGAATGAATGAATGAATGAATGAATTTGCATGCCTTAATTTTAATTTTTTATCTTTTATTTAAGTTTTCGAACGATTCTATTCTCGAAAAAGTTGCTTAATTTTTTATTCGTTAGGAAAAATATTGAGGTTCTGAAAAGAACCGATTTTTTTGTCTCTTTCGAAAAGAGAACTGACAGTTGAGAGATGACGGTGTGATTGATGGTCGGTCGATTTTTTTTTTTAAGCTCTTTCTCCGCGAATGCGTCTCGCCAGCTGGATGTCTTTGGGCATGATGGTGACGCGTTTGGCGTGGATGGCGCACAAGTTGGTATCTTCGAAGAGACCGACGAGGTAAGCTTCGCTAGCTTCCTGGAGAGCCATCACGGCGGAACTCTGGAAACGCAAGTCGGTCTTGAAGTCCTGGGCGATCTCCCTGACGAGACGTTGGAAGGGCAGTTTGCGGATCAAAAGTTCGGTGCTCTTCTGATAACGACGGATCTCTCGGAGAGCGACGGTTCCGGGCCTGTAACGATGGGGTTTCTTGACGCCGCCGGTCGCCGGTGCGCTTTTTCTCGCGGCCTTAGTGGCGAGCTGTTTTCTGGGGGCTTTTCCTCCCGTAGATTTACGAGCGGTCTGTTTTGTTCTTGCCATTTCGAAAAAATAAGCGAAAGATTAAAATCGATCGACGAACGAACACGCAGCAGACGGACGTTACGAACACGTTGACTGGAAATAACGGCCGACGGGCTCGCGGCGAACCTTATATAACGTTCACCGCTACAAAGTCGCTCTCTGCGCGTGTCTATTGGTCGAGCGGGACCAGAAATGGGCGTAGCTCGGGAACGTTATAAAACGACGCCGAATTTCGTAATTTTCGCAGTTCCCTTTCGAACACCGTTCTGAATCCACGTCGCTCGCAAGCTTCTTCGAAGATATTCCAAGATGACCGGTAGAGGAAAAGGAGGCAAAGGCTTGGGAAAAGGTGGCGCGAAACGTCATCGCAAAGTCCTGCGCGACAACATCCAGGGCATAACGAAACCGGCCATCAGAAGATTGGCCCGTCGCGGCGGTGTGAAACGTATCTCCGGGTTGATCTACGAAGAAACCAGAGGCGTCCTCAAGGTGTTCCTCGAGAACGTGATCCGTGACGCCGTCACCTACACCGAACACGCCAAACGTAAGACCGTCACCGCCATGGACGTCGTCTACGCTTTGAAACGTCAAGGACGCACCCTCTACGGTTTCGGCGGTTAATTTTTTGCAATAGCAAGAAATCTAATCGTCGCTGATTTTGATTCTTTGACTTTTCCGTATATACGCCACGACAACAAACGAGATCGGAGAAAAAAAAAAAAACGGTTCTTTTCAGAACCACAAAATTTTTCTAACGAATAAAAAATTTCGCTTACTATATGTCGAGAATAAATAATGAATGAATGAATGAATGGTTGGTTGTGTTGGTTTTTTTTAAAGAAATAATAATGACGATATAAAATGGAAAAACGAAAAAAATTAAATTAAAATCACGTATTTTTAAACGTTTGCAGTAAAATTCACGAAAAGTGACAGAGAGAAAGCTTAAAAATGAACGAACAATAAGAAAATATTAACGTTTTCGAATCGAAAAACGATTTCGTGTCATATAAAGTACTTTTCTTTCTTTCCATTTTTTTTTTTTTTTGTTTGTTTTCCATTAAGATAAGTTTGCGAGCATTTAATCGTTTGAAAAAAATTAGTGGCCCTGAGAAGGGCCGATGATGTGGGTTGTTGTTTTTCTTTTTTTTTCTCGGTAAAGCGGTCGTCCGTCCGGTCCGTTTCTTTAAAAAAAATGAAAAGAGTTTAAGGCTTCTTTTCGGTCTTCTTGGGCAAGAGGACCGCCTGGATGTTGGGCAGAACGCCGCCTTGGGCGATCGTCACTCCGGAAAGGAGCTTGTTCAACTCTTCGTCGTTCCTGATCGCCAACTGCAAATGTCTGGGAATGATCCTGGTCTTCTTGTTGTCTCTGGCGGCGTTTCCTGCCAACTCGAGAACTTCGGCGGCCAGATATTCCATGACGGCGGCGAGGTAGACGGGAGCTCCGGCACCGACGCGTTCGGCGTAGTTTCCTTTACGGAGGAGACGATGGATCCTGCCGACGGGGAACTGAAGACCGGCACGGCTCGAACGGGACTTCGCCTTTCCCTTGACTTTTCCTCCCTTTCCACGTCCTGACATTTTCTTTAATTTTCTTGCGAAAAACGAAATATAAACAAGATGATCGAGCGACGAGCGGCGACGACACACGTAATCGACTGCTGCGTTATTCGGTTATGTATCGGACCGGCGGTCGCGGCTTAGGCTTTATACCCTCCGTGCGGTCGGTTCAGTTCGGCGCATAGGAAGGCTAGGACGAATGGGCGTGGCCTGAGTCGGTAGACGGTCCGTTATAAAAGTAGTCGCACGCGGGGTGATATTTTTATTCGTTCGTCGAGAACCGAGCGTAGCGTTGCGTTCTGTTCTGTTCTGTTAAACTCTTATCGAATATTCGAAGATGCCACCCAAGACTAGCGGTAAAGCCGCCAAGAAGGCCGGAAAGGCCCAAAAGAACATTTCGAAGAGCGACAAGAAGAAGAAGCGCAGGAGGAAGGAGAGCTACGCTATCTACATCTACAAGGTGTTGAAACAAGTACATCCCGACACCGGTATCTCGAGCAAGGCGATGTCCATCATGAACAGTTTCGTGAACGACATCTTCGAACGTATCGCCGCCGAAGCTTCCCGCCTCGCCCACTACAACAAACGTTCGACCATCACCAGCAGGGAGATTCAGACCGCCGTACGTCTCCTCTTGCCCGGTGAATTGGCCAAGCACGCCGTCTCCGAAGGTACCAAAGCCGTCACCAAGTACACCAGCTCCAAGTAGAATGATTTTGTTATCATTTCTGTCGTCGTCCGTCGTCCATCTTTCCGGAAAAAAAAAAAAAACAACAACAACAAACAAACAAATCGGTTCTTTTCAGAACCACAAATCGCATTCCTTACAAATAAGAGATTAACGAACCTCGAGAATGTTTCTTTCCCCTTTATTATTATTCGATTATTAAAATGAACGAATAAAATGATACTTTTCGTTTCGGGGTGTGCGATGTTTAAATTCCGTCCGCGATCGATTTCGGTTAGAGGTTTTCGAAATGAAGCTATGTTAAAAAACAGCGTTATATTTTTATCGATCGATTTTTATACGATATGTAAATAAGTCAGGTCACGGGAACGTACTTGTTTTTTTTTTCTTTCTTTTTTTCCCCCCGCCGCAAGAAGGAATTTATATTATTTATTTCTTCATAACGAAGCGCTGTGCTCTCTACGATCGATTTTATCAGGAAATCATAAGATCGAGAAGAAAACGGTCGCGTTTTTTATCATTATTTTAATACTAGAATTACGAAACTGATGCAAATCTATACTGGCCGTCTGTTCGAGGAACTCGCGTACGATAAATAACGCATGTTCCTAACAAAACGGCCGTTTTTTTGCATTTTCACGATCGAGCGTGAATAAATTTCAAATTAAAAGATCAAGCGTCGATTCGTTTCTTTTCGAGTCTTCCTGAATGATTCTGATCTCGTTGTCCATGTACGGCGTTCGTTTGTAAGTTCTCGTCGTGCTTTAATTTTATTTTATCGTCACAGACAGACATAAATATCCATTATTTTAAAGTGTCGTTCCGCGACACCTCGATCTGATCTGGACTTGTAAATTTTTTTTTGGACTTAAAAAAAAAAAAAAAAAAAAAAAAAAGAATAAGGGGGGTGTTCGCAATAGGGCAAAACAAAAACAAAAAATCGGGCGGGAGCGCGGAGTGTTTGAAAATTTCGAGTCGAAGGACGCGAGTGGAAAATCTTAGCGACTAACTTAAATTCTAAATTAAAAACTAGCTTAAGCTTAACTTATGACATACTTATAATAAACACATCGTTTTTTTACTAAAAACTAAAGTTTAACAAAAAGAAGAAGACAACGGCACGCGGTGTTCCCAAGCGGTCACCCATCCAAGTACTGACCGCGCCCGACGTTGCTTAACTTCGGTGATCGGACGAATATAGAATAGAATAGAATAGAAAAGAGTTTATTTAAAATAAGTTATGTGATACATTGTGGACTTAACCTACTAAATTTACTTATCCTAATTACAGGTACCTGCATGGTGCCTAACCCTGCTATTTTGTGGTTGGGACAGTGGCCACAGATGGCCCTAGTTGTATCTAATTATTTGTCGAGGGTGTTGCCTCTATTTCTTGGTGTTTGCTCGATTTTCAAGTTAGGGGAAAATTTCTAAAACCCTATTATTGTTCATTTGGTGGGTGGGGGTGTGGGTGTATGTACACGGGGTGGGGGTGTGGTGGGGTTATTTACAAGCAATGTACAATTGTCATTACCGTTTGCACAATACGCAAAGGTAATGTTATAGTTATTTGGGACGAGCGGAGAGAACTCTTTATTGTTGTCCCGTACATATCATTATTATTTTAACTTAAGTATTTTATTTGTGTTAGTATTATGCTAATTTTTAATTCATTATTATGCGATTTTAGTTAAGCAGTAACCCTTTGTGACGTATGACTTCCGGTTTCTCCTCGCGGATGCGGCGGATGAACTCGTTCTTCCAGTTGGAGGCGAAGAATTTTTTGGTGTGGTCCCTAATGTAATTTTTAATTGGGGGTAGTCCCGTGGCTGCCTGGAGTTCTCTGATTCTTGTGAATCTCGATGCCCCTGTTATGAGCCTCATGCACTTGTTTTGGAATATTTCAAGTGGTTCCATCGTGTAGTTTGAAGAGTGGCCCCACACTGGGGCTCCGTATGTTATTAGGGGACGGATAATTTGCTTGTAAACTATAAGTTTATTTTCGTCGGAATTCGCGCTGTTTCTGGCCAGTAGTGGGTATAGTATTCTGATCGCTGCGTTTCCTTTCGTTACGGTCGTCTTAATGTGGTGTTTGAAGTTTAGTCTCGTGTCCAGCTGTAATCCCAGGTACCTGACTACTTTCTCTGGCTGAACGGGGTGTCCATCAATCTTCAGTTGGCTGAATGGTTTTGTGTTCGTTCTTTTCCTGGTGAAGATTATCTGTTCCGTTTTCGTTTTGTTAACTTTCATTTTCCATTCGGCGAAATAGGGAATTAATTTGTTTATGTGCAGTTGATTCTGTACCTGTGCCGCTGTAGCGTAGAAAGAGTGGGCGTACAGGGCCGTGTCGTCGGCGTATAGGGCTGTTGTCGTTTTTTCGAACTCGGGGAGGTCCGTTAGGTAGAGTGAATAGAGGGCGGGGCCCAGTATTGACCCCTGCGGGACCCCGGCTTCGATGTCTTTTTCTGTTGAGATGGCGTTGTTAATCCGAACTTTTAATTTTCTCCCACTGAGGTAGGATCCCGTCAGCCGGATAAAGTTTTCGTTAATTTTGTATCGAGACATTTTTTCAATTAATCCTGCGATCCATAATTTGTCGAAGGCTTTCTCCATGTCGAGAAGCGTCATCACTGTCGTTTTGCTTTTGTTGTAATTGAGGATTATGTCATGAACAATCCTCACTAATTGTAGTGTCGTGTTGTGCCCTTTCTTGAAGCCGAATTGACATTTCTTTTCGATTTTCTGCTTTGTTAAAATTGTTTGGAGTCTTCGATGGATCACTTTCTCGATAATCTTGGAGAGGTTGCTCAGCAAGCTTATCGGGCGGTAGTTTTTGACGTCTGACTTGTTTTTGTTAGGTTTTAGAATTGCGGTGACGATGGCTGTTTTGAATATCTTGGGGTAATAGTTATGTTTGAACATCGCGTTGATTATTTCGACTAGCTTTATGATGGCTTTCCTTGATAGGTTTTTTAGTACTTTGTTCAGGATTCCGTCTTCTCCGGGTGCTTTTGTGTTTTGCATTTTGGATATGATGCTCCAGATCTCGTATTTGTTCGTTTTCATATCCTCAACGTATTTTTTATCGGCACTCTTTGTGCTTTTTAACAGGCGTTCGGCGTTTGTTTCGATTTCATGTTGTGAGTTGGAGTTATTACTTCTATCGTCTTTGTGGACCTCCGCGAAGTGGGTGGCCATCGCTTCTGCCTTTTCGGCGTCGGTGACGGCCTCGCCGTTGGGTGTCGCGAGTGGTGGGATTGTTTGGCGTTTTTTCTTCATGGCTTTCGCCATTTTCCATAAAGTGTTGTCTTTTATGTTTAGTTTTTTAAGGGTGTCTCTCCATCTTTTGTTGTTATGATTGGTGAGTGCCGTTCTAATTTCTGCGTTTAGGGTTTTCATGGCGTTGCGGTGTTCGACGAGTCCGGTGCGTTGTAGGAGGCGTCGTCGTTTATTTCTTTCTTTGATTTTGTTGGTTATGTCTTGCGGGATTGTTTCTTTGCCGTTTTTTAATGTTATCTTTTTGGTGTGTTTTTCTGTTGCTTTGGTGATGGCTTGGGTCAGTTTTTCGGTTTCTGTTTCTATGTCCTGTTGCGTGTTTATGTTGTTGTTTATGTCGATTTTTTCGTCTAGTGTTCGTCGAAATGCTGGCCAGTTTGTTTTGCTGTAGTCCACAATGGTACGCGTCACGTCGTCGCGAAATACGTCGCGGATTTGCATTGTGACCGGTATGTGATCCGAGTTTAGTTCGTCTAGCGTAATAGCGCGCGTAAAGTTGCGGACGTTTTTTACGATAAACCCGTCGATTGTTGTTGGCGTGGATCCGTTTGCTGGGAAGTGAGTTGGTGTGTCTGGGAAATTCATTAATGCGGTGTTGTCATCTTCTAAGAATTTCTTTAAAGTGTTTCCGTTCGTGTTGTGGCCATGGCTCCAGTTGGGGTGTTTGGAATTCAGGTCTCCGGCTATTATTGTGCGGGTCGGGTTTCTTAGAAGTATTTTCAGGTCTTTTTCTTTGTAGTAATTTCGGGGTTTATTGTATGTTGCCACAATCGTTAGGTCGCTTCTCGGAAGGACGATTACCGCCGCTTCGATCTTTGTATTGGGGGGCTTGGTAATTTTGTACGGGATTCCAGTTTTAATGAGCAATAAAACTCCACCTCCTCTGTTTACGTCATCTCGGTCGTTCCTTACTATGTCGTAATTTTTAATTTTAATTTTATCTGTTGGCATTAATTTCGTTTCTGTGATGGTCATTACGTCGGGTTTTGTGTCGTATAAGAATACTTTAAGTTCTCCAGTTTTATTACGCAATCCATTTGCGTTCCATGTAGTGATTTTTAGCGCTCTAGTGGCCATTGGGATTAGCTAAGTTTATGATTAACTTCTGCAGTGGGATGAGTTTCTCGGCCTCTGATTGGCATTGCTCTAGTTCCCTGTTGGCTTCGCGTAGAAGCGGTGTCATTTTCTTTACGTTGACCAATTGTGTGAATCTTTTTAATTCGTGGAGGAATTCGTTGAATTCCTTAATGGCTTCTTTGTCCTCGGTCGTTATTCGTTGGGTCTGTTCGGCGGGGGGCGTTACTTCGGCAGGTGGCTGTGTCTTTGATTGGTCTGTGGGCGGTGCGTTTCTGCCATTGTTTATCTGCCAAGCGTTGGCAGGTATCGGGGCGTCGATGTATTTCTTGGTAATTGCCTGCGTGTTGGCGTAGTTAGTGGCCTTCTTTTTGTCTTTCAGGTACCTAACTTTCTCCTGGTATCTCGGGCATTCCAGGGAATTAGCCAGGTGTTTTTCTTGGCAATTGACACATTTAATATAATTCTGGGATTCGCTATCTTCTTTGGTTATGTTGCACGTGGAGGAGATGTGGTTTCCCGCGCACTTCATGCATTTCGCGGTCGCGAAACAGTTCGCAGTCGCGTGACCCCATCCTTGACATTTGTGGCATTGCACAACTTCTGCTTTGTTCTTGAGCCTCTCCCAGCGCACTATTACGCGTGTCACCGCTTTGGCTTTCTTTCTTAGGCTGTTCAAGGTGTCGTTTTTGCTGGTGATTACAACGTAAATTGGTGATTTTACGTTTTTCATCTTATTTACGCTCTTGCACTCAATACCTGAGTCAATTAAGTCTTGCTTTATTTCTTCCTCGGTTGCGTCATTTTCCACTCCAAATAACGCGAATCCGTGGGTTTTCTCCTCCTTTGTGGCGTATGTGTGCCAGTTCGCCGCTTCATTTTTTGCGAGTCCTCTTTTTAATGCGTGAAAATCGTTTATGTTCTCCGCGAAGATTATTGTACGTTCTCGCGTGAATTTGAATGCCGCTGGTTTCGTTGTATGTTTGTCCACTTCTCTGACAAGATCGCGATAGTTACACCTTTCGTGTATTACGATCGGAGGTGGCTTTTCTGCTTTAGTATTTGTTTCTGTTTCCATTTCGTCGTCATCACAGGAACTGTTTTCGCTTCTACCGCTACTTACGCTACGTTCGCTGCTTTCGTCGTCACCGTCCTCCTCGGTGGACAATACCTCGTAGATATT